TTCACTGAACGATCTTAACAAATCGTTGGAGATTGTACCAAATTATGCATGGGCATTGGGGGAAAGGGGAGAAGTGTATCGACTTCTAAGACTATACAACAGTTCACTGAATGATTTTAACAAATCGCTGGAGATTGAACGAAATAATGCATGGGCATTGAGTAGAAGAGGAGGTGTCTATAGACAGCTCAAACAATATGATAATGCAATGATTGACCTTAATAAATCGTTGGAAATCGAACCAGATGATGCATATGCATTGAGCATAAGGGGATCTGTCTATCGACATCTAGAACAATACGACAATTCACTGAATGATTTGAACAAATCGTTGGAGATCGAACCAAATAATGCATGGGCATTGAGGGAAAGGGGAGATGTCTATCGATGTCTAAAACAGTATGATAATTCATTGAATGACCTTAACAAATCGTTAGAGATCGAACCAAATAATGTATGGGCATTGAGCAGAAGAGGAGCTGTCTATGGATTTCTAAAACAACACGACAATTCATTGAATGATCTTAACAAATCGTTGGAAATCAAACCAGATGATGCATGGGCATTGAGGGAAAGGGGAGATGTCTATCGATGTCTAAAACAGTATGATAATTCATTAAATGACCTTAACAAATTGTTGGTGATCGAACCAAATAATGCATGGGCATTGAGAAGAAGGGGAAGTGTCTATAAATATCTGAAACAATACGATAATTCACTGAATGATTTAAGCAAATTGTTGGAAATCGAACCAAATAATGCATGGGCATTGAGAGAACGGGGAGTTGTCTATCAATGTCTAGAACAATACGATAATTCACTGAATGATTTAAACAAATCGTTGGAGATCGAACCAAATAATGCAACGGCGTTGAGTATAAGAGATCGTACTTATAGTTTCTTGAATAGTATGACAATGCATTGAATGATGTTAACAGCATTAGAAGTCGAACGAGATTATGTACTTGCATTGTCTGTAAGACGAGACCTCTATATTGGTCTCAAACAGTATGATCGGGCGTTATGCGATGTCAACAAAGTGTTAGAAATTGACCCGAACAATGCGTATGCATTGAACGTACGTGGACATTTCTATTACAATCTTGGCCAATTCGATAGGATATCAGCAAACCGTTGCAGATTAATCTGAGTAATAAATCTGCATCGAAAAATAGAGCAAGGCATATCTCATGCTCAAAAAGTATGATGATATGTTGATTGATTTAAATAAATTGTTGGAGATTGATCCTGATTATTTTGACGCGTTGATCGTGAGGGGAAACGTTTATCTCGATCTAAAACAATACGACAACTCGTTAAATGATCTCAATAAATCACTAGCGATAAAGCCTGTCACGTAACGCAGCATGCATTGAGAATACGAGGTTATGTCTATTTCAATCTCAGAGAATATGATAATGTGTTGACCGACTTCAACACGTCATTAGAGATTGAACCAGGTGATATGTCTGCAGAGAGTATGAGAAAAAAGGCTAATGAAATGCTCAAGCATTATGATATTTGTTTACGTAAAATGTTATTCTAAGATCCGATTGTACATCAAAATAGGAATGAAATAATTTTCATGTTTATCATTTTATTCCGTGTAATGGATTGGCAAATGTAAACTCTTCTGGCCAGTGTTGCTAAAATTATCAATAGTACATCTACGTATACGTATTAGCTTGAATAAAAGCTCTGAACAAAAATTAACCTCCCAAGTTCTGAAACTTTGGTCAAAGCGATGCGGTTTGTTTTTATTTCTTATGCGGCATAGACTTTATCCTCATTGTAAAAGAGACATTGTGGATAACATTATCCTGGCGTTAAATTTATTTATAACTAAAGTAAGTAGTAAAAATCTGCTGCGCAGTGCATTAAGCATATGATTAAACAACTGATTTTTAAGAGATAACAAAAATTATAATAAACATAGGTGAGATTCGTAATTTGGATAATGCATTTTCGGAGGTTGCAAATGGGAAAAACAATAATGCAGGATATAATGATAAACAATAAGTAATAAGTAAATAAGTATAAAAATTCAAAGGCATTTTGGTATAGGAATTTGATCATATGAGAATCCTTTGCAGTTTATCGTTCTGTATTGCGAAAAAGTAATAATCAGAAATTACGCTTTTTATCACACAAAGTTGGTTCACTGTCCTCTATCACAACCATCACGTGTACATTCTTAAAAGATAGACCAAATTTGTATCAAACCGTCATCGGGCATTAGACGGCTAGGTCGTATTACACTTTTGCTATATATCAATTCTTGTTGAATTGTTATGTATCTTATCAATAAAAGTTCCTCGCGATAGTTATCTAAAGTTACACTGTAGATCGGAGGAGTTGAAAGCACATCGGAGCCGTGTTACATACAATGGTGACGCATCATACTCACGCGCGGTGTTTCTTTTTTCTTTTTTATCTATGCCGATATGAGCAAATAATAAAACTTCTATTTATTTGAGGGAATTGCTTTTGGGGGGGTCTCACTCTTATATATTTTTACCTCACTGCATTATATTGAGTTTGCGAAATCGATCACTAAGACAACCTAAGCTCCATGTAGTAACCGTCGTCGATCGTACGCAAAAATAGGCGCTAACTATTAATATTCAGCATTATTTAAATTTGCATATATCGATTATCACTGACAACTCAACAAGCAACAATTCTATCCTCATGATATTACGCACTTGTTAATGATAAATGTTGTCGACATGTGTGCAAAATCGACACCATGATTTGAATTTGCATATATTGATTCTTCGAAAACGTGAAATCGATTTTTGTCGTCAATCACTAACAACCTAACAACCAGCAATCCTATGGTAAATGATATTCACACGTGAAGGAAATGAACATCAACTATTAAGCATGATTTGAATGGCTCGATTCTTCGAAAACGCGAAATCGATTTTCGTCGTCAATCACAAACAACTCAACAACCAAAAACCCTATACTCATGGTATTCACACACCTGTTAATCGTAATCGTTGTCAATATGTGTGCAAAAAATTGACACCAACTATTAAGCAGGATTTGAATTTGTATATATTGATCGGCTTGCTTCTTTGAAAACGCGAAATCGATTTTGTCGTCAATCACTAACAACTCACAACCAAAAGCCCCTATACCCATGGTATTCACACACCTGTTAATCGTAATCGTTGTCAATATGTGTGCAAAAAAATTGACACCAACTATTAAGCATGATTTGAATTTGCACATATTGATTCTTTGAAAACGCGAAATCGATTTTTGTCGTCAATCACTAACAACTCACAACTAAAAGCCCTATATGCCTATGGTATGTTAATTTCCATCTTCCCTTTTTGCTCCTTCGATAACTTCCTTATACTCTTACACAAACCGCTGCTCTTTTTCACATTCTCCCGATCTTTTCCCAGTCACTGTCCTAACCACTCTCCAAATCACTTTCTCTTTACGCTCTAATTCTCTTCCAATTGCTTACACTTTTGCTTAGTTATTTTTTTTACCCAGTAGTTGCACTTTCCATCTCCCCTCTTCTCTCTCTTGCTCTTACTCATACCTCTTGCAATTAGCCGTACTCTTTCAATAGCTCACTATTTTATGTCTTACTCTTTCGTTTCTCTACTTCTTAAATCACTCTCTTGTTTTTGAATCATGCTTTCAGTCTTGCTCATAACCCCGTTTTCTTGCTCAACTCCTCTCTTTATCGTAATCACAATTACTTTTCCCTCTCTCATTTTTTCGATTCTTGCCCTCTCCGTCTCTCTAATACATCTTTACCTTTCACTCCGTTCATGGTTCTCATTCTTGCTACCCGAAATCGCTCGTAATGGTTTTGTAATCTCGTACTCAAACTTTCCCGAAAAGGTTATAACTTCGAGTATACAGTTCTGCACACTAGATTAGTGTCGCTGTTAACCGTCCCCCGTAACATGAGATCCAAAATGTCGAATCTGAAAGTACCAAAACCATTCATTCTACATTTTTGTACTACGAATTAATTTGAGGCATTAATACCATTGGTTGGGAATTAAACATATCATATTAATATACGTTCAGAATCTGTGACTTTTTTTTTTGCTTGGCAGAATCTACGCCAACAATTTTTGCGTGCCGCATAAACCAGAACCTGTTTGCATCAACGTTATCAATGTCTCAAACGTCTAATATTTCGTACAAAGAATGGCTAGAGGCGAGTATTCAAGAAGGTTCAATCTATTGCTGTCCCGAAAATGACATCAAACTGGATCCCACATATATTGGAATTGGAGGATTTGGAGCAGTGTGTAAGGCAACAGTTAAACAGAAAAACAGTATTGCCGCAGTTTTAGGCAGAAAGCAGAACATTTACTCTGGCATGACTGTTGCCGTAAAGATATTGCTTTCTAATAAACATGGGGATTCTGAAGAAGATTTACACCAGCAACTGGTTAAAGAGGTTGCTATTATCTTTCCGTTGTGCTTGCCGCATATTCATATTTCGTATAGGCTAACTTTTGAACGATGTTATATATTAGCTAATGAACCATAACCAAGCGAACAACCATCCCAATATTATTCATTTTTTAGGCGTATATAAAGGTACGTTATGTTGATAGCAATTTTCTTGAGCTGCACTAAAAAGAAATATCACCCACCTGCATTCAAAAACTTCATGTGTTTATTGCATACAGACAAACATTCCCGTTATCATATGATGTTTGAGCTAGCTGACGGTGGCAGTCTGCGTGAACACTTGACAAGACACTTTAAAGATTTAACCTGGAAAGACAAATACAAGCTTGGATTAGAAATTACCAACGGGCTAAAACATCTACATAAACTTGATATTATTCACAAGGACTTGGTATTTATCGTAAATGTTAATTATATCATTCAATTTGCACTAGTACGTAAATTGACTGCGTCCGTTTAATTAGTCTTCCAGTAACATCCTTATCAAATCAGGTGTAGCAAAGATAACCGACTTTGGCTTATCAAACGTGTTGAAACAAGCAATGTCTAAATCACGTGACGAAGGCGCACCGGCGTATAAAGACCCGTTATCTTTGAGGAACGCATCATATCACCGTGGAAAGAAATCTGATGTATTTAGCCTTGGAGTCATACTTTGGGAGGTATCGAGTGGGAAAGTTCCATGCGGCGGACGTACTAAACCTCATGAAATCGTTGTGTGTAGATTTGACGGATATCGTGATCCGCCATTTCCTGGAACACCGGAAGAATATATTAATCTGTATTCAGAATGTTGGCACGAAGACGTAAATAAGCGGCCATCTTGTGAAACGGTTCATAAAAGATTGAAGTATTACGATGAAGTAAACGATCTTAACAAATCGTTGGAAATCGAACCAAATAATGCATGGGCATTGAGGGAAAGGGGAGAAGTATATCGACTTCTAAGACTATACAACAGTTCGCTGAATGATTTTAACAAATCGCTGGAGATTGAACGAAATAATGCATGGGCATTGACTAGAAGAGGAGATGTCTATAGACATCTCAAACAATATGATAATGCACTGATTGACCTTAATAAATCGTCGGAAATCGAACCAGATGATGCATGGACGTTGGGCATAAGGGGATCTGTCTACCGATGTCTAGGACAATATGACAATTCACTGAATGATCTTAACAAATCGTTGGAGATTGTACCAAATTATGCATGGGCATTGGGGGAAAGGGGAGAAGTGTATCGACTTCTAAGACTATACAACAGTTCACTGAATGATTTTAACAAATCGCTGGAGATTGAACGAAATAATGCATGGGCATTGAGTAGAAGAGGAGGTGTCTATAGACAGCTCAAACAATATGATAATGCAATGATTGACCTTAATAAATCGTTGGAAATCGAACCAGATGATGCATATGCATTGAGCATAAGGGGATCTGTCTATCGACATCTAGAACAATACGACAATTCACTGAATGATTTGAACAAATCGTTGGAGATCGAACCAAATAATGCATGGGCATTGAGGGAAAGGGGAGATGTCTATAGATGTCTAAAACAATATGATAATTCTTTGAATGACCTTAACAAATCGCTGGAAATTGAACCAAATGATACATGGGCATTGAGGCGAAGGGGAGCTGTCTATTATAATCTAAAACAATACGACAATTCACTGAATGATTTTAACAAATCGTTGGAAATCGAACCAGATAATGCATGGGCATTGAGAGAACGGGGAGATGTCTATCGATGTCTAAGACAATATGATAATTCTTTGAATGACCTTAACAAATCATTGGAGATCGAACCAAATAATGCACGGGCATTGAGTGTGAGAGGTCTTACTTATGGTCTTCTTGAACAGTATGACAATACATTGAACGATGTTAACAATGCATTAGACGTCAAACGAGATTATGTGCTTGCATTGGTTATAAGAGGAGACCTCTATAATAATAATGATAGCAAACAGTATGATCGGGGCGTTATGCGATGTCAACAAAGCATTGGAAATTGAGCCGAATAATTTCCATGCATTGAGTGTACGGGGGCACATTTATCATAATCTCGGGCAATACGATAGTTCATTAAGTGATCTCAACAAATCGTTGCAGATTAATCCGAGTAATGAATTTGCATTGAAAAATAGAGGCAAGACATATCTCATGCTCAAAAAGTATGATGATGCATTGACCGATTTGAATAAATCATTGGAAATTGATTCTGATTATGTTGACGCATTGACCGTGAGGGGAAACGTTTATCTCGATCTAAAACAATACGACAGCTCGTTAAATGATCTCAATAAATCACTAGCGATAAAGCCACGTAATGCGCGTGCGTTGAGAATACGGGGTCATGTCTATTTCAATCTCAGAGAATATGATAATGCGTTAACCGATTTCAACAAGTCATTAGAGATTGAACCAGATGATACGTCTGCATTGAGCATGAGAGAAAAGACTAATGAAATGCTCAAGCATCATAATAGTAGTAGTAATGTGGATGCACTGGACAGTTAACCAGTGCTTAAATTGTTATTATTATATATTGGAGATACTTGTTTATTTATGTAAAATGTTATTTTAAAGACTAATTGTACATCAAAATAAGAATAAATAATTCTTATGCTTATCATTCTATTCCATGTATGGAATAACCCTTCTGACCAGTGCTGTGTTAATTATTAAAAAATTGCAAAAAGTACTGATACTACATCCACACGTATTAGCTCGAATAAAAACTCTAAACAAAAATTAACCTCCTAAGTTCTTGGTCAAGGCCATGTCTATTTACAACGAGAAAACCTTTTCTCGAGATAAAAGTCTATGCTGCATAAGGAATAGAAACAAACAGCATGGGCATAAATTTATTTATAATCAGTAGTAAAAAACCTGCTGCGCAGTGCATTAAATTCTGCAAGCATATAAACAAATAACTTTTTGAGAGATAACAAAAATCATAATAAACATAGGTGAGATTCGTAATTTGGATAATGCATTTTGAAATGTAAATGGGGAATGATGCAGGATATAAACAATAAGTAATAAGTAAAATAAGTATGAAAATTCAAAGACGTTTTTTGTATAAGCAATTATTTCTAATTGGATTAGTGTGTGATTATTGTTTATGGGAATTTGATCATATGAGAATCCCTGCAGTTTATCATTCTGTATTACGAAAAAGTAATAATCAGAAATTACGCTTTTTATCACACAAAGTTTATTTACTGTCCTCTATCACAACAGCAACCATCACGTGCATGTCCTTAAAAGATTATTTTGACTATTTGTATCAAACCGCCATCAGGCATTAGACAGCTAGGTCGTATTTATTACA